CTCTCTCTCTCTCTCTCTCTCTCTCTCTCTCTCGCATATAAATTGTATGTTTAATTGTTTTAATGGTTTTTGTTTACAAACAGATATTATCTCATTTGCTGTCGGGTCTGGAGTCCAACTCACTGACCACCCGTCGGGCCTCGTGTCACGCCTTGGCCTACATCCGGGCCGAGCAGTCGATCGACGAACTCCTGTTTGTGTCGACCGAAGACACGGACCCCCGCGTCCGCGAAGAGGCCCGCAAAGCGTTGTCCACGTTTGGCGGCGACGCCCAACAGCGTTGGCATCAGTGCTCTCTCACGCAAATGGGTTTCACCGGACTGTCCATCAGCTCCGGCAGTGACCACAACAACAAGAATTGGGCCAAACTTTCCTCGAATAGCATTAATAACAATAATAATAATTTTTAAGTGCAATAAAAATACATCACTTTTTCCCTTTCATTTCATTATATTTTTTGTGTATAATTTGTCTCTCATTTTGCATTCAGTTATTTTGTATTTAATTTATGATTAGATTTATATTTTTAATTTTTATTACATTTAATTATGCGTTTGATTTCGATTTGCATTTAATTTGTTTGATTTTGTTTGACATTCATTTCGCACTGCATTTAGAAATTAAGTAATTTTTGCATTTTTTGTAAACATTTTTAATTATTTAATTTTTCATTTAATTTATGCAAATATTTTTTATGAGTTTTTTAAATCATTGTTTTTCGCACCACTTTTTTTGTCTCATTCATATTGTGATCCATATATTTCTGACACTATTTAGTATTGATTTGTATTACAAATGAAGTATTTTTTGTATAAATAATTATGAAATTTATAATTATATTTAGATTTTTAATACGAGTTTTTGATAAAAGCAGTCTATTTTACGCTAAATGTACAGCAGATTGTCTGCCAAATAGTGTACTGTTTTTTGTATAATTAATTAAATCATTCAATGATTTGTAATAATTTTGTGCAAAACTTTATAATTTAATAAATAAGAAGTTAATATTATAAGCGCTACAAGGTTATTTTTGTAATTAGTAAACTATAATAAAAATAATTGCTTATAAAAGTATTTATTATGTTTAAAAGGGATTTTAAGGAAGAGAGAGAGAGAGAGAGAGAGAGAGAGAGAGAGAGAGAGAGATTCTTGTACATTACTAATATCAATATTAAATATATTAAGCATTAAAAATAAGACGGCCTGTCGTTAGCGTAAGAGGTTCTCAAGATATTTAACTTTATTCACAGAATATCATATTGTCTTTAACCGTATGTATGAACTAATGTTAAGGTTTACATTCATTACATATTAAATATAAGCCTCAGCTCTCCGTATGAGTGAATAGTTTTATTGAAATTTATTTTATTTTATAAAAAAAAACATATTTGTAGTAAAATTGTTACCATAAGTGCTGTTCACTGGAAATAATGGCCAACTCTTATAAATGGTTGTTCTTCGCGGCTCTAATAGCGGTCTGTCGTAAGTATACTTATATTGATTGGCTTTATTACTCATTATAAAGTTCATAGTAACTTTAATAACCCGTCAAAAAAGAGATTAATTAAAATTAGTTTATAAACAATTTAAAATTATGCTAATTATGTGAAGAATTATACGATGTTTTGTACGATTATAACAAGTATTATATAAATCCTATCTTAAATTACTATTTGATGACTGATTCTGTATACCCAAAATATAATTTGTACCATGGTAAATAGCTTATAATTGTTAACAATAAATAGATATGTAAAGATATAGTGAAAGCCTATACCTTACGGCACAAACCCAATGGTCCAAACACTTTGTCAAAAATTATTTTAATTTACAATGTATTTATCAAAAATCCTCGCATTATTATTTGTTTATACTATTAGTACTATAGACTGCATATGAATTAAAATTATATATTTTAAATATAAATTTGATTTAAATTTAAATATCAATTCCTAGACTCGGAGACCGACGAACAATCATTCGACAAAATGGTGGCCAGATTTCTACACTTAGGGAACGGGAAGTTATACCCGGAAACGGATGAGTCCGCTAAGGAATACTGCAATAAATCCGAGGCCTCGTTGTAAGCGATCAATAACTGTAAATAATGACAGTTATGTATAAATTAATATAAATTATTTGAATATTAATGACATACAAACCAAACTAAATATACCGACAAAACGACCCTAACGTTTAGATCGTCAGAAGAAGTTGCCGTTGGCTTTAGATATGGGGCTAGTTTAGACCCTAGAATGCAGCCATTGTTAAAACTAGTAAATGATAGCGATATCCGGGTAGTTGTGAGATGGTATTGCAACGCCAAAGACCAGGGTCAATTGGGTAAGCTATTGAATACAAAAATTCCCGATGCTGAAAGTGTGAGGCACTCGGCTGTCGCCACTTTAGAAAGTTTGAACACAAGCCGGTCATCTCTCGCTGATGTCGTTTGGTATAACTCTTTTTATAATGTGGTAAAATTTAAAATTAATAAAATAAAATTTACATATCATTTGTAACAGTATTATAAGATTATACGTGACTAAAGTGCAGACCATATTTGACGGCACTCAGGCGGGCGATAGTGTCCGCAAAGCGCTCACCCCTTACCCGAATGTGATTGCTTTTATTGAACATTTGAGCAAGGTGAAAGGCAGTGAAAAGTGCGAATTAATCGCCGCCCCCGCAGACAAAGTCAAGTATAAGTCGTTTGTAGTGCCGATCTATAAAACAATTGATCGCTTTCTCAAACGTATGAACATTTTGTACAACTATTTGTTTCGTGTATTTATTGTAATAACATTTATATTACAGATAAACCGTCACAAAAATCAACTTCAAATGTTAAAAAGAAAAGTTTTGAACAAACGATTATGGATGAAATACTTGATGATGATGACGATTTTTAAAATTAAATGTTATAATTTCACTAAATATTCACATAATAAACTTATGTAAAATTATTACATAAGTATGATTTGAAAATAGTGTTAAATGAAATTTCAAGTACTAGTTTGAAAATAACATGTATTAACTATTATTCGATAAATTGTATAAACTTAATTATTAACATTTTGTACAATTGATTTGTTGTAAATTCTAATGTATAATTATTTATCAAACAATATTATTTAATAATTTGTTAGGTAGAAATATTTTAACACTAGTTATTTTGTTCAAATAATTTATTCAAATCTAACACTACCTTGATTATTGTTTATATTTATTAAGCTAAATCTGACGCAAACCATATACTGTATTTAAAAATAACTTACAATTTGTGTATAATAAATCTAATAAACTTAATTTGTTACATGTCCATACAGTGAATGAATTACACAATTAAAATTTTATAATTACTACGTGATTATATAATTACAACATATGCCCGGGTGTTAATGATTTACATCATTATATATAAATCTAGACTCCCCGTATAAATGTATAGATTTATTAAAATTTATTTTATAAAAAACATATTTGTAGTAAAATAGTTGCCATAAGTGGTGTTTACTGGAAATAATGACCAACTCTTATAAATGGTTGTTCTTCGCGGCCCTAATAGTGATCTGTCGTAAGTGTTATTTCATTTACAAATAAATTATTATTATTAAATAAAAATCAAATTAGACTTTTTACAAGATTGTTATATTAACTTATATTAACTGCAATATTAACTTATAATCACGTGTGTGTGTGTGTGCATTTTAATGCTATGTTGAGTTTATGTTACATAAGTAACAGTACACTATTTGGCAGACAATCTGCTGTACATTTAGCGTAAAATAGACTGCTTTTATCAAAAACTCGTATTAAAAATCTAAATATAATTATAAATTTCATAATTATTTATACAAAAAATACTTCAATTGTAATACAAATCAATACTAAATAGTGTCAGAAATATATGGATCACAATATGAATGAGACAAAAAAAGTGGTGCGAAAAACAATGATTTAAAAAACTGATAAAAAAATATTTGCATAAATTAAATGAAAAATTAAATAATAATTAAAAATGTTTACAAAAATTGCAAAATTTACTTAATTTCTAAATGCAGTGCGAAATGAATGTCAAACAAAATTAAATGCAAATCGAAATCAAACGCATAATTAATTGTAATGTAAATTAAAAATATAAATCTAAGCATAAATTAAATACAATAACTGAATGCAAAATGAGAGACAAATTATACACAAAAAAATATAATGAAATGAAAGGGAAAAAAGTGATGTATTTTTATTGCACTTAAAAATTATTATTATTGTTATTAATGCTATTCGAGGAAAGTTTGGCCCAATTCTTGTTGTTGTGGTCACTGCCGGAACTGATGGACAGTCCGGTGAAACCCATTTGCGTGAGAGAGCACTGATGCCAACGCTGTTGGGCGTCGCCTCCAAACGTGGACAACGCTTTGCGGGCCTCTTCGCGAACGCGTGGGTCCGTGTCCTCAGTGGACACAAACAGGAGTTCGTCGATCGACTGCTCGGCCCGGATGTAGGCCAAGGCGTGACACGAGGCCCGACGGGTGGTCAGTGAGTTAGACTCCAGACCCGACAGCAAATGAGATAATATCTGTTTGTAAACAAAAACGATTAAAACAATTAAACAGACAATTCATATGCATTTCGAGAGAGAGAAAGAGAAGCGTTGACTCACTTCGGGCTCGTTATCGTCGGTCATAATCTTGAGCCACTGGCGAGCGATGGCCGCCATCTGAGGCTCACTAGTAGTGATCATAGCGCGAACGGCAGCCCACGTGACCTCATGGGGGTTCCACTCGCGGGCGATAAACCGGGACAACAGTGTCTCGAACTGCGGTATCTCTTTGGCTCTGATCACTCGACTCACATCGAGCGCCACTTTCAGCACATCCTGAAGAGTGAGTTCGGGGTCAAAACGGGACCAAAAGGCCCGCACGTGAAGCGCAGTGACGTAATCGCATTCAGAGATCTTTGCGGTCAACCACTGGCTCGCGTCGCCCCGGATATCGTCGCACGACTCGTACGAGTGCATCAAAATGTTGATACCGTCGGCACACGTCCGCCAGTCCATCACAATCGGCGGCCTTTGCTTCGCAGGACCACCGCTGCCGGGCGTCAAACACTGCCACAACTCTCGCGCGCGACTGTCGACGGCGTCGTCGAAGTAGTCGTCTGAGGGGTTGCCGTAGTTTTTGGCCAACTCTTGCAACGCTAAGGCGTCGTCCCGAAGCCGACGGAGGGCGTCCTTCTCGCGCGCCTTCAGCACCCATTGTCCGCAATGACTCAATTGAATGATGGCGTCCCGCGTGTGGGTCACGACACACGCCTCCCATTGACTCGGTATCGGCGGCGACGGCAGTGGCGGTGCGGATGACACTGGACTCGACTCCCGGGATATCACAGACTGTTATTCATTGAGAGAAGAAAATAAAATAGAAATTATAAATCAATGTAATTATGTCTGCAAATGAAAAGTCAATTATGTTTTTCATTTATAAATCAATAATAATTATTGGCATTCAATTGAATGTCAAAAAACAATCATGTGTTTCAAGATTTAATAATTTGTTTAAAAACATAATGTAATTATAAATTTATGTCTAGCCTACAGTCAACTCTCGGAATTTGAAAATGTTAAACACTATAATACGATAGTTTGATTGCACTATTAATTAAGTATCAGTAAAAATATCAAATAATAAACCCCGTTATTGTTAACCATAGTCTTAAATAACTATACTGTGGCTAAATTGTTGCTCAACTATTAATAATTGTTTGCAAATTGTATCCAAAGTCTACTGTATTTTTCTAATTAATGCAAACATTAAATGATTGAAAAAACAATTTCGTCAAAACAATCGACTCGTAAAACATTGAAACAAACGATTTAAATGATATGCAATGAAAATGCTTGTAATGTAATCACGTTATGATTAATAATTATCTGTATTTATAATACAAACTACTCCTAAAAAGTGTCTAATCATGTGATTTTAATGTCCTAAAGAAGAGTACACTATACAAAGTGTGTACACATTTTATATACTGTCAAAAGTGTATTGTATGACTGAATATTCAATACTGTGAACCATATATAATCTCAAAGTTATAATTCACATAAATTTCGTATATATAAACTTAGAAATTAGTTGTAAAATCAAGCTATCTACTGTAGATAGCTTGTTTTAGCATTAATTTATAAGTTTATATATACAAAATTTATGTGAATTATAACTCTGAGATTATATATGCTGTGAACAGCAAAATACATAACTTTGCAGAAAAACAACTTTCAATAATGAAAAACAAATATTTGTTTTTAGGTTTTCATTCACGAGAGAGAGAGAGAGAGAGAGAGAAACACATAAACACCATAAGCCTAGGAATAGTATATGTGTTGTTGTAATGGATGTGATGGC